GTGACTTGAAATCCTTTGTTTCGTTTCCAGCCAACATTTATTCACAGCCTGTTTATCCTCGCTCCTTATTGTGCCAACATTGGTGGTGGAAACTCCATCGTTAGAGGTTTTAAGGCCTGGCTGGGATGATTTAGTTGCTATGGGCATGGGGTAAATTCCATAACTTCCTGAGAACTCTTCCAACCCTGATCTTCCATGATTCTATGAACATTGTCTTTTAGGTGAAATAGCTCATTTCCATGCTTGGTGTTTATTCTGGTGTATTTATAGGGAGCAATCTGATCCCCTCCCCCCACCCCAACTATTTGTTTGAGGATCCCTCATGTACTCTGCCTAAAGTCATTTGCAGAATTAATCTTCTCTTTAAAAGCAGAGGGCCCAGGGAATGTGGAAATTAACTTGCCTGTGGAGGCATCGATCTTATCATGCAGGACCAAGAAGCGGGTTTATGCCATGTTTTCTCTAAGGAAGGGGAAGCTCCTCAGGAGAGTTGGGAATGGCAACCGTCATGACCACCCACAACTAGGGTCTCCTATAGGCATACTATTGGCATTCTTAAGGGTGTGTCCAGGTGGAGAGTGCATAGCAAGCTGGGGTGTAAATCTTCACTGTTGCGATGAAGGCCTCAGGATCCTGCCACACCCCATCCCAGACAGGAGCAGAAGAAAGGTCCTCCAAGTGGCCTAGAGTAACTGAAGGGGAAGCAACCAATCAGATGGCAGCAGTTCTGTATGAAAAGGAGCAGTAGCAGCAGAATCAGTTAGGGTATGTCTACACAGCCAAGTTATTTTGAAATAACAGCCGTTATTTCAAAATAACTTTCCTAGCATCTACACAAGCCAACTGCTATTTTGAAATTAATTCAAACTAGCGGAGGGCTTATTTTGAAATCGGTAAACTTCGTTCCATGAGGAATAGCGCCAATTTCAAAATTGCTATTTTGAAATAAGCGCTGTGTAGACACTTATTTCAAACTAGGGGGCCTCCAGCCATTCCCAGGGTGTCCTGCTGGCCACCCTGGTCACAAGGTAACTTCTGACCTGATACCCTGCCGGAACCAGTTCTGGCCGGCCTTCAATGCGATTCAGCGTCCAATCAGTGTGGACGCGCTATTTCGAAATAGCAAAAAGCTATTTTTGCTAAATAGCAAAAAGCTATTTTGAAATGCATTTTGTGTGTAGACGTGTTATTTTGAAATAAGATATTTCAAAATAACTATTTCGAAATTAGATATTTCGAAATAATGCTGTAGTGTAGACATACCCTCTGTTGGTGCTTGGAATTGGAAGAGGGAGACAACAGTGTTCCTGGCTGGCCAAAGAGCAGCAGGACCATGGACAGTTCACTGTGCTCAGGGACTGTGTGGGAAGGGATAAGAAGTTACTCCTGGGCTGGCTGATAAGCAAGGACTGAGTCCAAGGAGGGCTGCAGGAAGACAGCATCTCCAGGGAGGAAGCTCCATATCAGGAGGTAAAGACTGCACACCCTGGAAGGATTTGTTCTGTTCCACCTACTGACAGTGTGTGTGACTCAGCTGAAGGGCTGAATGTCTGAAAAATCACCTAAGAAACTATTGATGGGAGGGGGTGCACTTGTGAGGAAGAGGTGCCGACCCTGTTACAGGCACACTAGTGTACTATCCTCTGACTGCTTATGTGACCCTTGCTGCCACACACTACAAGTTCCCTAGTGCATGGCAGCAGGGTTCCCGTGAATGGTTCATGCCTGGCACATTAAGGAGCAGTAGATTTACATCTCAACAGCTGACATGTTAAGTCTCCATTCTAGACAAACCCTGAGATGTGGGGTAGCCTGTAGCTCCTCACTTTCCATAGTACTAAAAGACCACAGAGAGGAGATTCTCTGTAGAGCAAAGCAAAAATGTTTTGGCTGCAACTTTCTGGGGGGCAAACAATGCAGATTTTTTTTCAAGAGTGCCATGTTTTGCCACTGTTTTTTTTCAAGAGTGTCATAGCTGGTTTAGAAAATAAACAAAACAAAACAAGCCCCCTTACAGTGTTGATGTTTTATACATGGTTTGATGTGTCCACATCATATTTCCTTTGAATTTTATGTTTAAACATTGAAAAAAATGTTAAAATGTGCTGTTGTAATGTTTGATTTAACTCAATGTTTTGTTTGCTGAAAATTTTTTGTTTCAATCTGCTGCCAAAAATGGTTCTATTTTTGAAAACTGCCAGTGAACTAAAAAAAAAATCCATTATTCACACAGCTCTAATCCTAGGATACTATATAAAATTGCCCAGGAGAACAGCCGTATCCAGGTGTGATTAGCACACTTAACTTCACCATTTCCTGACTTCTCTGTCCTTCAATTAGCAGTTTAATGTTCATTTATTTTCAACACCCAAGGTAAGATGTATTTTTCCCCACTCTTTTAGTAATTAAAAAGTTGCAGGACTATTTTTGTTCACATTCGCCCTGCTTCCCTTCCCCCAAAGTTCACTACTAGGCTTAAAACAGATATGGAAAATGGCAGCCTAGAAAATGAAAAGTTTGACGAAGTTCCAAATAACTGAAAAAAGCCTTTCACACTTAGCCTTAACTATAGAGTGTTGCTAATTACCCTACAAGGTGAACCTCTCTCCTGTGGTACCTTCGTGACCTCACAGATGCCAAACCAGAGAATTTGCTGGACAATGGTCAACATTGTCTAGCAGCATTACCAGAAGTTTCACTACTTACTGGGCTCTGAGAAGACGGTTGGGTAAATTAGAGCTAAATAACAGCACAGAACACTGAAAGCCAGGACTGGTGGCTGTAAACAAACTTTATGGGACTGCGGGAAAGTTGGCTACACCCATGTTAAGTGGATATCCAGCTAACTAAAATCATGCTGGGCCATGGATTTTGCTGGACTAGAGAGGGCCAGAATAGAGAGGTTCAACCTGTATTAAAAGGGAGTTCTTCTTTGCCATGGGGGCAGGGGACTGGACTTGATGACCTCTCGAGGTCCCTTCCAGTCCTAGTATTCTATGATTCTATATGTGTGTTTTGTTGTTTTCTATGCATGGAGGGATGAAGTTACAGGGGACAGAGGCAGAAGAAGTCTAATGTAGCAAATATGAGTTGCTGTGCTTTATATGCACACAACTCAAAACTCAGTGGCTAGCTGCCTGGAGCAGTAATATGACTGTCCTCACTTATGCCCTCTGCGTGTCTCTTTCAGGAGGCGGGCAGCAATTTGTTGAACGTCTTCAGCTTCCTTGGCTCACTGGCTGGAGGAATAATGTTGGGAATTGATTTGATTAGCATTTCTATTCTCAACAAGTATAAAATTTCCATCCCGATGTTGGATAAAATCCGCTTGTTCAACTTCGTTCTCCCACTTCACTGTGAAGAAAGCCCCATCCCATGGGATTACTGTCAGAGCATTGGGTTTTACAAGACGGTAAGTGCCGAGGTCCCACAAGGTGCTATGCATTCTGGGTCCCCTGAGCTGGTGAGGGCTCAGAATCTAAGGAGGGCCCACACTTGAGTGTAGAGAATATTGGAATCTTTGCAACTCTCTTCAAACATTACAGACGGTTCAAGTCTCGTTTTATGCAAACTGATAAGGTGGTTGTTGTTGTTTTCCCCACCCAGACCCTTGGGTTACTTTCTCTGTGGGCTAAATTCTGCTCTTGGTTATAGTGGTGTAACTCCCCTGAAGCCAATGGCATTGATGTCCGCAGAATTCACTCTGTGTTTACACGGGGGTAGTTGACACCTGGTTTTGACCTGATCAGTCCCTAGCTGATTACCTTACTAATAGCCTCTCTCTGTGTTTGGTGACGTGGCATAGGGAATCCTGGCCTTGATGCTGATCTTCTCCATAATCCAGAGCATCGTCTCAAAAGCTTCTGTCTCCTCCAACTCGGTGAGGACTTAGTATCTTGAGTCAACGCCTGTACTGGGGTGGGGGTTCTTGACTGAGGAAGTGGACAGAGAGGGAAATGGTGGCAAGGAGACCCGCCGTGTGGTGATTTTTGTCTTTTCTTCCAGGATGAGTCTATGTCACAGGATTACAAGGCAGAGCAAGCGTTTCCCTTGATGTCATCTCCACCACCCCAATTCAGCAATGGAACCGGGGCTCCACAACCGTGGTCAATCACCAACATCCAAGGACAAACCCTCAGCAGCTCTCATGGGTAAAAGCCTAGCACCTGAATCTCTCCCTCCCACTGCGATAAGACGCCTTTCTCTCTCTGGTACAGGAATCGCCTGCTTTCACAGTACGCAGAATGGAAGATGGGCAACGGTAACTCCCTAGCTTTATCCGTCCTCTTGGAAAACGCCTCCTGAATGACTCTTATGCCAGCTTCTTCAATAAGGTGTTGAAAAGGGATGACAGTTGGTCCTTTCAGTCTCGCTTGATCTGAGTGGGGGTGGCGGGAATATCTCCCCAATGGGATGGGTTTCCCAGAAACGCTGGAACCAACTGCAACTCCGTGCATGGTGATAAGATGCTGTGTTTCCCTGAAGGAGCACGGAGAACAGAAGAGACCTAGTAGAGCCACTGCAGTTTCTATTGATAAACTTTTTTTTCTTGCTTCCAAATTTCACCTTGTTAGGCTGAATTTTTCCAAGCCCTGGTTTCTGTTTCTAGGTGCACATGGCATTTGAAGGTGAAATCTCAGCTGCATCTGAGAATAAATTGTGACAAGTATGTGACATTCCCTAATTATACAATCATTCTCATGCTGCTCTTAAGAATGATTTTCTTGCCAAAATGGGTAGCAGTACAAAGATGTTACAAAGAAATTTCCTAGAAAAATAACCTCCATTCAGAAGAAGAGCCCATGGGAGTTCTGGGGGAGATCAGCATGAATTTGGCAACAAAGAGTTAAATAATGCTAAAAATTCTTCCAAGTATCTTAGTTACCAAAAAGCCAGGAAATTCAGTGCTCAGGTTAAATTGACAAGAAACCCAACGTTAGAAAATCTGGAAAGTAACTATTAAAGAACTCACGCAACCTCGAGTCTGGCTTCTTAGGGGCAGTTTGTGGTGCCTTTACTCTAGCATGAAGAGCTGGCTGAGCAATTGACTCTTTCTGTTTGGTGGCTGAGCTGAAATACTTGACAAGCTTTTGTTTTCAGGTCCATATAAAATGACTTTTTTGGAGGGGGGTTCATCTCAGCAAGAAACCAAAGTCACCCTCCCGCCCAACAAAAACTTGATCAAACTAAACATTTGTTCAACCCAAAATATTTTGTTTGGGGTATCTTACCCTATGATTTATTTTAGTTAAACTTTGCTGAATTTCGAAATGAAATGCTGACACTTTTAACTTTGTGATTATCCCCACAATATTTTCAGTCACCATTATTTGCCAGTTTCAACCTGAATTCACTATCCATTTCAGTAACCCTTTAGTTGCTTTTCTTTGGTGAATTAACTGTATACAGGAAAAATGTCACCCAGCTCCACTAAATAGTCATCTTGGTTCCAGTAGAAAAACTCACTACTTGTGTAAGCATTTACATGTGTGCCACAACCTTGATTCAAGAGATCCAGGCCTCTAAGGCTATGTCTACATAGCAGTGTTGTTTCGGAATAATGTTAGTTATTTCGAAATACCACCTACAAGCAGTTATTTCAACATAATGTCAAAATAATGTCAAGCTGGAGGACTTCCTACTCTGACTTCTATAACCCTCATTGTATGAGGAGTAAGGGAAGTTGAAGGAAGAGTGCTCTACCTCGGACTTCCTGCAGTGTAGACAGTGCCAAAAGCTGAAAGAAGCTATTTCGACTTAAGCTACGCAATTGACGTAGCTCAAGTTGTGCAGCTAATTTTGGCTTTAGCCCTGCTGTGTAGACAGATGTTCCCTAAAGGTGCGTCTACACAACACTGTGACTCGAAATAAGATATGCAATTTGAGCTACGCAAATTGCGTATCTTATTCTGATCCTGTTTCAAAATAGCTTATTTCGTCATTTGGCGCTGTCTACACCGTGCCAAATTTTGAAATAATATGCTATTCCAAAACGTTCCTTACTCCTCATAGAATGAGGCTTACTGGGACGTCGGAATAGTGAGCCTGAAATAACAGGCTTGCTGTGAAGATGCGGGATAGCTATTTTGGGATGCTCCGGTATCCCAAAATAGCTTTGCAACGTAGACGTAGCCTGACTGTCCCTTCCTTGTTCCTTTTCTTTGTGAATTCTTTTTTCAAAGGCACCCAAGAGAGTTATGTACCAACTGCCTTCAGCCCATATGAAAACCCCAGCCTTTATAGCAAGGTTATATGGCCTGCTTTTGTATCCAGGACTCAACAAAGCCTGCAGCTTTGCTAACTGCTTAAATTTGTACAGGTGGAAAGGGAGAAAAGTGCTCCATGGAGAATTGGTCTCGAATTGGAGTTTCATGCATGCACTATAAACACACTAGCTCTGTGTTTAATGATGCCAGCTGGCACATGGAATTATAATGCCCAGTCCTGTGAGCAGCTGGGGCACTTTGGAGGACAGGGCCTTTAAAGAGGAGTAGGGGGTGATCAGAATCGGCATGTTATTTGTCTAATAAAGAATTTGCCAAACCCAGCTTTTGTTTTTCTGTGGCATGTGAATGGCCTTTATGAAAGTGAGACTCAGCACCACAACGGCACCATTAAAAGTACAGGGAAGCATTCCGGACTTGGTCATCTAATGTGCTGAGGGGGAGGGGGTTCAACTCCTGGTTCTGCCCCAGGCTCTTCCCCTGTCTCTTTCCACCTGTTCTACCTCCCTCCCCCGAGTGCTCCGTGACCTTGCTCCTGCACACCCGGAACAGCTGACCATGGGAGGGAAGGGGAGGTGATGATCCGGATGGCCACTCCCCCGAGTGCTCCGTGACCTTGCTCCTGCACACCCAGAACAGCTGACCATGGGATGGAAGGGGAGGTGATGATCCGCATGGCCTGCTGGCAGGGAGGAGGTACTGGGGGAGGGGGAAAGCTGGTAGATGCTCAGCCTCTACACTTTTCCCCAAGCACCCACGGACTCCGTGGACCTTGCTCCTGCACACCCAGAACAGCTGACCATGGGATGGAAGGGGAGGTGATGATCCGCATGGCCTGCTGGCAGGGAGGAGGTACTGGGGGAGGGGGAAAGCTGGTAGATGCTCAGCCTCTACGCTTTTCCCCAAGCACCCACGGAATCCGCACCTGCAACTCGGTAGCCTGAGCCAGTTAAAGGACACAAATGACCATCTAGAGCTGTCCTGCCCCCTGGTTATAAACCTACACTGCAATCTAAGCCTGCAGCCAGCAGGATCTGAGTCAGCTGGCCTGTGTCAGGGAACACTGGGCTTGAGTGTCTACACTGTGCCCTACATTAAGAGATCTCTAACCTGTGCTTGACCCTTGGTCAGACTGAGTCAAAGTAACCATCTCCCAGAGTCCGGAGCAGCCCCATGTGGTCTCTGGCTGCTCTAGCCCCCGGACTATGGTGCACTACAGGAAAGCATAACTGCCTGGCCTGCATGATGCCAGGAAGCAGCTCGCTTTGCAAAAGGCTCGATTGGTTCGCAGGGCACCATGAACCCAGGTGGCTCATCTTGTTGCCTCTGTATAAAACTATGGTACGCCCACATCTTGAATATTGCGTACAGATGTAGTCGCCTCATCTCAAAAAAGATATATTGGCATTGGAAAAGGTTCCAAGAAGGGCAACAAAAATGATGAGAGGTATGGCACGGGTCCCATATAAAGAGAGATTAAAATTACTTGGACTTTTCAGCTTAGAAAAACGACTACGTGGGGATATGATAGAGGTCTATAAAATCATGACTGATGTGGAAAAAGTGAATAAGGAAAAGTTATGTATTTGTTCCCACAATATAAGATCTAGGGGTCACCAAATGAAATTAATAGGCAGCAGGTTTAAAACAAACAAAAGGAAGTTTTTTTTCTACTGAGCCCTCAGTCAACCTGTGGAACTCCTTGCTAGAGGATGTGGTGAAGACAAGGTTTTTAACAGGGTTCAAAAAAGAGCTAGATAAATTCATGGAGGTTAGGTCCATCAATGGCTATTAGCCAGGATGGGTAGGAATGGTGTCCCTAGCCTGTTTGTCTGGAAATGGATGATAGGGGAGGATTGCCTGTTGTGTTACCTCCCTCTGGGGCATCTGGCATTGGCCACTGCCAGAAGACAGGATACTAGGCTAGATGGACCTGGGGGCTGTGTCTAGACAGGCCACTTTTTACATCAAAATGGCCGCCACGCTGTGCCGATCAGCTGTTTGGCAGCATAGTGCGGTAGTCTGGACGCTTCGCCGTCGAAGCCCTTGTTGACCACCCCGTTATGCCTCGTGGAATGAGGTTTATTGGGGCGGTTGACAAGGGCTTCCCTTGTCGACCATGGAATGTCCAGACTATGGTGCTGTGCCGCCAAACAGCTGATCGGCACAGCGTGGCGGCCATTTTGATGTAAATGAAGCGGCGATTATTTAAATCACTGCTTCATTTCCCTATGTCTAGAAACCTAATCTACATGGCTCCGTCGACAGAGCCATGTAGTCTAGACATACCTCCGACGACGGAGCAATGTAGTTAAGACGTACCTAAGAAAAACTTCCTAACTGTCAGAGTAGTTAAACACTGGAATAAATTGCCTAGGAAGGTTGTGGAAACTCCATCGCTGGAGATATTTAAGAGCAGGTAGGACAGACATCTATCAGGGATGACCTAGATGACGGTTGATTCATGAGGGTAGGGGACTGGACTTTATGACTTCTCAAGATCCCTTCCAGTTCTAGGTTCTATGATTCTATGATTGTCTAGCAGCATTACCAACACTTCCATTGCTTCCTGGACTCTTAGGCTACGTCTACATTGCAGGCTTCTTGTGCAAGAACTGTTTTGCGGAAGAGTTCTTGTGCAAAATGTCTTCCACAAGACATTGATTTTTGCCGTGTTCTCCTCCTGTAGACCATCCAGAAGTAAATAGGAAAATGGTCCCACTATGGGGGGAACTTTCCAGCCCTCAGCAGATTGACTAGCAGAAGGATCTGAGTCATAGAATTCTAGGGTTGGAAGAGACCTCAGGAGGTCATCGAGTCCAACCTGCTGCCCAAAGCAGGATCAACCACAACTAAATCCTTTGTCAAGCCAGGATTTAAAACCTCCTAGGGTTGGAGATTCTACCACTTCCCTAGGTAACCCATTCCAGTGCTTCACCACCCTCCTAGTGAAATAGTTTTTCCTAATATCCAACCTAGACCTCCCCCACCTCAACTTGAGACCATTGCTCCTCATTCTGTCATCTATCACCACTGAGAACAGTCTCTCTCCATCCTCTTTGGAACCCCCCTTCAGGGAGTTGAAGGCTGCTCTCAAATCCCCCCCTCACTCTTCTCTCCTGGAGACTAAATAAGCCCAAATCCCTCAGCCTCTCTTCTTAAGTGATGTGTTCCAGCCCCCTCATCATTGTTGTTGCCCTCTGCTGGACTTTCCCCAGTGCATTCATATCCTTTCTGTAAGGGAAAAGGGAAAGCCTTTACTCAGA